AAGGTCTTAGAGAGAGCGTGTGTATAAGATTTCCCTTCCCTTGTAAATCGCTTCTTTAATTTTCTTAGTTTCAGATTTTTTCGCTGATTTCTTATTATATATCTTATATGTGTGCATACAAGAAATTGTAGGATTTTTCTCCATTTTTTCCAAATTGGTTTTGCACAATCCATGAAGAAAGTTAACGAGTCAAAACAACATAGTAGTATTTCATAACAAAAGCAAATATAAAAGCTATTTCATTTTATCATGTATTACACATTCCTCCTTGTGGTGCTGAATATTCTTCTTTTTTTCTTTCTTTTCTTTGTTCTTTCTTTTTTTACTTATCAACTATTCAAACAAGGTCAGATTCGAATGTTTTTCAAGTTGCTTTCTGTGCACAGCTGTACTGCAAGGTGTACGAGGAAATAAAAGATGGAAAACTAGACATGTCAGATTGGCTATAAACAAAGTCTGAAGGAAGTACAGACGAATAAAAGTGAATAAATAGTAAAGGATCTGTAGGATAAAAAACAAGAGTGAAGAGGTATTAGAGATCATCAGTTTTGTAGGATGTTCTATAAAACTATTAGTTCGTTCACTAACTATTTTATATTTATGATATGAAAAGTAATGGATTTCAGCAAGGTAGAAAGTTCTTTTGACCTCTTATTGCGTAGAATAAGGAAGAAGTGAAAGAAAGTTGAATTAGGACAAAAGAAGTGTAGTTGCAACACTTTCCACCCTGATAGTGGGGACTGAAATTCTCTCACTCCAAGTGCATCAAAGGCTATATATAGTCTGTGAATGCGCATGCCCTTAACTATCAGGTTTACAACACGTCTTTTTTACAGTTCTTCATACGCCACTTGAAATTTTACCAGAGAGCTTAGCTGCCACTATAAGAAAGCGGTGAATGGCTCAAAAACACTATCTTCTGCATTGGTAAGCGGTGCTGGCATTTATAAAAAGTATCGGCGGTACTGTGGAGATGGAAAGAAGAGGAAGGAGGAATCTGTTGATGGTGAAAAAAAACGACAAACTAGAAGAAAACACGAATTGTTGCACTTGAAAGGTTTATTGGAATCTGGTTATGAAGTACAGCACATCGTCGACAAGCTCCACTGGAAAATGAGATTTCCTAGACCAAATGGGCATCACAGTCCACCACGAAATGCTGGTGTTCCTTGAAGGCCGATACTCACGAGGATTGGATAAACGCATATATGTGGTAGGTTTAATCAAACTGCCTTTAATACGTATATGTGTTTAATGTGATAGGGGACTGCGGAAGAGAGGGTCTCATTCTGTGCGCAAGCACATTTCACGTCAGCTGATTCACGTTCATGATATGCTCTTCACTCATTCAGATACCCATGCAGCTACTCACAGGGTCCAGCTTGGTCAAAATAGTTCGAGTCAACCCCCAGCATGTAACACACGTTTAAATCGTCAGTTCTTGTCTAACCCAGGGGCGGCAATCGCTTCATCATCGACTCCAAATGCGCCGGTTCCTCGTACTTTCGATCCAGTAATATGTTCATCCATGCAAAATAGACTAGTGTGACCGCCCCGTCATTGACTGGGGAGAAACCTGCTGAGTTCCCCACTAGCAGCGGAGGCAGTCCTGCTTTCAGCAGGTGGTTCTCTTGCTCCGCGCCACAATAATGTTGACAGCTTCTGGCAAGGACCAGGGGTGTACTGGAAGCAGTCTGAGAGACGACCACTATGTTGCCGGTAGTTATGTTGCTGAGGCATTCAGCTCCAGACAAGTGTTATGAAACGCTCTTTGGCAGAAGTTTCGACCAGGGCCCCCACACCTGCTCTGTGGGAATATCAACCCTCCTACAGGGATATTTTTTTTTTTTTTTTTTTTTTTTTTTACGGCAAAGGAGCAGCAATATCACTATTTCACCACTACCAGCAATCGTGGTGGAAGGCTTATCAGTGACAAACGGCGAGTCTTGTGTGGACAGCAAAGTAATTAGCGTAGTTACTCGGGCACATCTGATGGGTCTTGTGCTTGCTTCGTGGGTCTTCCACACTGGTCGACTCCTTGTGACAATTCACCTGACAGTGATCATGAAACTCTCATCGACATGCCCAAACCTAAAGCTTTAGAGATCCGGTCTTCTTTCAACAGGCAGGCGGGGGATTTTTTTTTTTTTTTTTCCCCTCTAGGAAGAGGTCCATCCCTATGTGACCTCTTTACAGGTTGCTGGACTCCCTTCCCTCCCTCAGGTTTGTGAAGCAATAGCCCCCGAACGACGCCCGCCACAGAATCCTGTTTCCGGTTGTCCTGAAAAGGGGGGATCAGTGCACGCTCGCCTCCTTCACCTCGTTCGAACCCGCCGAGGATGAGTGCAGGAGCATGCTGTGAGCCCTGTATTTATCCCAGCATGGACCCCCAAGTCCTTGCTCGTTGTTGTCGTGGGGGGCTTAGCAGACGGAGACTGAAGCCCAATGTCGCGAATCACCCCTACCTTAGACCTCAGCCCTCGCTTTAACTAATTTTGCATGGTCTCTTCTCTTCCTTTCCTTTTCCTTTTCCTTCTCTTCATCCCCCTTTTCTGTCCACTTATCCTAATAATTAATTCATCTTTATCCTTTTCGCCGCAATACTTTATCATAATGCTGCCTACTACCTTAACTCCTTCCCCTACTAACAACTTTTACTTTATACCATGACCCATCAGCTCCCCCTCTCTACCCTTTTCACTACCATACTCTAATATGTTCACCCGTAACTTTTTATCTACTTTAAATTTACTTTAACATAAATCTTCCCTAAAACAATTACGCATTATACTTTGTTATCGTAGTGCTATATGACCTTTGATGTCATACAGACATCTACCTGGGGCTTTGCCCCCAAGACTCAGCTATCTCTAGATTTTGAATACGGTGCTAATGATCTTAGATGTTGACGTGGCACAAAAATTCTTCAATAAAAAAAACATCTCTGCTATGATATGGATGGGGCACAGCAAGAACCACGTGCAGTTCCCTCACCAGAACATACTGCCTCTTCAACCCAAGGGAGGGAGCTTTCGTTCTGTTCCTGCCCCCCGTTGCCTCAAGTTAGGCCGTGGCCGACATAAATGTGTGTGTGTGTGTGTGTGTGTGTGTGTGTGTGTGTGTGTGTGTGTGTGTGTGTGTGTGTGTGTGTGTGTGTCTACCATCTATATACTTATCTATCTATTCACCTATTTATCTGTCTGATCATCTATATATGCATATACACACGTACACATTATATATATATATATATATATATATATATATATATATATATATATATATATATATATATATATATATATTATATTATATACAATATATATATATATATATAATATATATATATATATATTATAATATATATATATTGTGTGTGTGTGTGTGTGTGTGTGTGTGTGTATATAAAAGAAAAGATGCCCAATGAATGGAGGAAAAGCGTTTGCAAGAACAAAGGCGATGCACGGAGTTGTAATAAATACCGTGGCATACAGCTGATTAGCATGAAGCTTTGGGAAAGAACTCTGGAAGCTTGGTTGAGATATGAGGTAATAATCAGTGATCCGCAGTCTGGCTTATTGCCACGTAAAACTACTACTGATGCGTTGTTTGCACTGAGAAATATAGAGAGGGACAGAAAGATCAGCACTGTGATGGTAGATTAAGAAAAAAAAAACTTATGGCAGAGTGCCAAGAGAAGGGGTCTGGTATTGTACGGGGAAGTCTGGAGTGTCAGCGAAGGACATAAGAGCAGTGCAAGGTATGTTGCGGGAAGTGAGACAGTGGTGAGATGTGCGGTGGGAGTGACTGAGTTTCAAAGTAGAGGTAGGATTGCACCCAGGTCGGTTTGGAGACCGTTCTTGTCTGCAAAGACAGGCTGACGGATGAGATTAAACAGGAGACACCTTGGACGAAGGGGAAGGAGTTCCGGAAGTAGGGCAAGTCAACGGATGGAGAACGGATGTCGGCGACAGTGAATGGGAAATTTTATAAGAGTGGTGAGGCCGGCATTTTTCATGGACTGAAAGCGGTTCTAGGAAACAGAGTTGAGACTGTGAGCTCAAGATGTTGAGCTTTTCCCTAGGAGCGACGAGGAAAGATAGGACTGGGAACGACTACATAAGAGGGACAGTCAGGAGGAAAAGTAAGAGAGGCAAGACTAGTGGTTTGGCCATGCTCTGCGGTAGAAGAAGGCTGAGGATGGAGTTACCAGCCAAGAGAAAGAGAGGAAGACCAAGAAGGGTCATGGGTGTAGTTAGAGAGGGCATGCAGGAGGTCGGAGTGACAGGAAGTGGCAGAGGATGGAATAAATTGGAAAACGAGAATCCGCTGTGGCGACCCCTAAGCGGGAGCAGCCGAAAGAACGTTACAAGGATAACCATAAGAATTTCCATGTATAATGCCACTGGTCAAGGGAGTCATGGGTTAGGCAAACATTCTCCGGTAGTCTATCTGCTCTCAAAAAAAAACGTTTTTCTTTATTAAATTGCAGCTCTGATACGTTATATTACATTATGATTACCTATTTTAATTAGTTGCACTGAGATTTTACATTTACTATAAAGGATATATACAGCAGCTAGTGCTCCTCTGATTGTAAGGTTCTAAGAGGGTATTAATAAAAAACGGATTTTTGTCTTGTATAGTTGCAATGTTTTCCATGGCTTTATCCCTAAATGATAAGATATATTGCACTTATAAAATAAATATACAACGGCTAGTGTTTCTCTAATTGCAGGGTTCTAAGTATTCATAAAAGGGGATTTTTGTCCTTGAGCGGTTTCCCTTCAAAGTAACAAATAGTGAATCCGTAGAAACAAATAACAACAGTGTTGACACATTCAGCACAGAGTGATTTCGAAATTGACTTTTGTCTAAAACCCCATAAAGGAAAAGAAAAGGAGAAATCGACTTTCCTCAGTTCGTAGGAGACGAGGAATTAAATGGTAAATCTTCAAACTTGAGGATTTCATAAGAACAGGATTTCTTCCGAGAAGCGCAAGAGCGAGTGAGACTAAGATGCAGTTCTCGGAGGTGAGACTTATTTCCCGAGAGTTAATGAATAAAGTATATGATGCATATGATGTGTTGTTTTCACTTGACCTCTGAGTAAAAGTCTGACCTGCTGCTGAGAGCATTTCTCAGAGAGCTTTGATTCTTTAGGGAATCGCCCTCTTTTCCCAACAGCAAGGCCATTAGACTGCCAATCAGCAGTGAACAATGATAAATTTAGTTTATGATGAATGAGCGTTTTTCGCGATTGCCGACTGAGTTTAGATTATTAATTGTTTTTAGTCATAATGTGCCAATTATGAGCACTGCCTGTCACCTGTTTACCCTTTTCTTTGATTTTTGAAAATATTTTTTGGAATCTTATATTGATCGTAGTAATGTCAAGAACACAATAGTAATTATAATGTCTATAATGAAAATAACCTTAGTAAAAAAGTCCTTCCCACAAACTTGGTGAAAGATTAAGTCAGGTGAGATCACAAGGCCAGTTAATTGATTCCTCTGTGGCTAAGGACTTGCACAGCAATGAATGTGCAGAGACTTCACAAAATACTACGGGGAACACAACATTTTCCTGGTGATGGAGGCTTAATGGATCTCTCCTCCCAATCCCTTGCTTGTTGTTGTCGCGGGGCCTTAGGAGACGGAAACTGAGGCTCAATTTAGGGATCAGCCCTACTTTGGCCATCAGCCCTCGCCTCAGCTAATTGTGCAGGGTCTTTTCTTCTTCTCCCTTCCTTTTCCTTCTCTTCTTCTTCATCTTCATCTTCATCTGTCCACTTATGCTAATCATCAACTCATTTTCATCCTTTTCACCACAATACTTTAACATTATGCTGTATGACCTTTGGTGTCTGGCACATTAATTTGTTTTGACCGTTCTGAAAATCCACAAACACTGCCTCATAATTTTTTTTTTTTTTTTAATAAATAATTAAATAAATAAAAAAAAATCCTTACCTGGGGCTTGCACCCAAACCCCAGCTATATTTTGTGTACGCTGCCAATGACCTGTTATATTGATGCGGCAGAAAAATTTCAAGAAAGTATATAAATAATAGATCTCTTATTTGCATTTTTCCATACTTTGACAATATCTGGTTGTCAGAAATGTTTAGAAAGAAGATAAAATTGACATCATTTTACCCATTTCAGTGAATTGGGACTCATTATATTCCAGATTAAATACTTTAAATCCTGTTTTGTGTTTTGTTGTAGAACCAACTTTTTTTTTTTCAATAATGGACATTGTAAGTGGCTTCAAAGTCATCTGGATGTATTGATTTTAATGTCTATTAAATGTGATCAACCAGTTGTCATAACAAATAATAGCTATGATACAATACCATAAATACAAATAAAGATATGATTTTTCACGTTAGAATTGATTCATCTGTGTGCAAAAAGTTCCGACAGAAGGGCCATAAGCATTATCAAGTTACCTGATCTACATTAAGAGTGCCAGGGAAGTAGAACATTGACCCAGAAAAGTTATTCTGGAACAAGTCTAAAATAATACATAATGAGCCAGGAAATATTTGTTACAGATTTAGGCCTTGATATTGCCTGTACAGTATCAGTTTCCATTTTGAAAAGCTTATGAAAAAATGCATAAAGTAGTAATGGAATAGATGATAATAATATTAATGTTGTCTTTGTTATCATTATTATGATTATTCGTTAGTATTTTTTTTTTCATTATCATTAAAAATACCACACAACTATAAGAGTAATTATTTGTAATCTATAATTTCATATATCATATTGATTATATGGTTGAGGTGTATGTGATCATCATGCAGCTCATGATAGCTACTACAGTTGTTTATGTTTGTGTGAATGATGTTGAGTTTTGTCTTTACAGTTAATGCACATACATGTAGATGTTTGTCGTATCTATTAAAGTAGCACAGTACTGGAATTTAATTTAGTATTCAGTAGCTAATATAGACACAATGTTTATATGCAGAGATGTGTTTTTGAAATTGTGGTCCAGACAACTTTTAGTTCTCTTACCCTTATGATTATAATCAAACTTATTTAATATAGTAGAGAATTCTGTAAGAAATGTTTTATTTATTTTATGTCACCTCCTTCGTTCCTCTCTAACATTTAATCTTTCCTTTTCTTTGTTGTCATTGTCCTATCCACAATTACGGGAATCCATAATGAATCATATTCTTGTTGACAAATGTAGAAAAGGTATGAATGAAAATTAATATTTTCACAATACAAGAGATGTATTTGACCGGTTTCGATCTTTGTATTTGAAACGAAGATATAATCAAAACCAGTTAAATATATCTTTTGTATTGTGAAGATATACAGTATCATTTATTGGAATCCATAATTCCAATTTAAAAGGCAGTATTAATAATAAGCCATTAAAATGAGTGTTCATTTAATAGCTTATGATGTCATCTTGTTTGCTCCAACAGAGACTGATTGAGGAATTTCTACGAAGTAATCTTGATGATAAAAAAGTTCGCATAAATGCAGATGCCATCAAGATGGTTGCAGAGGTATGCTTAGATGTAATAATTTTTTAGAATGGTTACTTATTTTTCTTTATCTCTATTTATTCAAAGGATTAGGAATCCGTTACTTAAACTGTCATGTAAGGTACATATTTGTATCTTTTGGCTATTAACCCAATGTCAGCAGGTGGCAAGACTACAATGCCATGCCCACTGTAATAAGTTTATCTATTGACTTTATGTATAGATGGCTCTACAAGTACTTAGTCACCAAGGATTCAGCTATTAGTCTTATTTACCTCATCTGTTTAGCCTTTTCCTTCATTTTTTTAAAGCTTCACTTCTATTGTTTTATTGTCTTTGATGTTACTAATATTTCAATAACAGTTTGATAATCATAATATCAATAGGAATGATAGCAATGTCAATATTCAAGGAATGGGGAAATCAGGATCAGTCACTAGGGCCAACTGATAGACTCCTTGCTGATGAGCACACGTGGAGCCATTTGTATGTACCAAAACTCACTAAAATCTAAAAGGGACAGTAAATAAACCCACTGACACTTTGGGTTAAGTGAACAGTCAACAATGTTCTTGATCTGTATCCTTTTTCAGATTCGTACTTGTTCACCAAACATAAAACAGTTACTCATATAGTTTTGCTGTGAAGTGATAATGTATATATGTAAGATAAAAAAAGACAGTTCAAGAAATATATACCAAGTTCATTACAGTTAGCAAGATTAATAGTGACAGAAGGAGCAACAAGAGCAGCTCACCAAGCAACAACAGAAGGTGCCGACACTGTTACACTTCAGCACATGGAGAAAATCCTTGCTCAGTTGGTATGTCACTGGGCAGTGCTATTAAGAAATGTTAAAAATTCATGATTTATTCAAGTAATAAAATTACAATAATCCTTGGATATATATATTTAAAGAGTGCTTTCTCTTTTTCCCAGATATTTAACTGCAATCTGATACCTACTTTATATGTTCTATTTAATATTTAGTATTTTTTCGTTTCTATTATATTTTCAGCTCTTGGATCTATAGTGGGGAGAAGGAATAGTAAAAAGAGCATGTTATATGAACATTCCACTAGTGAGTAGTATTCTCATAAATTATGTGAATTGAAGCCTACAATGGCACTTTTTTTCCCATTAACCCATTGCCGCCGGGGAAAATGAACAAAAAATGGGGGATATGCAGTACTCTTTTTTTATATTTTTGTGAAATATCTCTGTCCATAGATGGCTCTGCTAGTCCTGATTTCACCTTTGCTTTAATTGGCAGGGAAAAACGTATTTTTAATAGTGCTATAAATATAGATGGTGTTATTCTTAACAGCAAATTAGGATAAAGTTAAATATTTTCGTAAATCGATGAAAAGGGTGAACGGGCGAGACAGGCAGTACTCGTAATTGGCTCATTGGATACTTAGTACAAGTGTAGCCATCTATGTGTAAAACAATCGAACAAGTCGACTCACAGTGGGCATGGCATGTACGTACATGCCATCCCCGGCAGCAGTGGGTTAAAAAGGGAAATGCAAAAACAAATTGTGTATTAGAAAGGTAGTTGGACATGATATAATGTCTGAAGGAAAGATCCTCTGTATTCTAATATTTGCTTCACTTCACATGGCAATAAATGAATTCCATTTAATACTGTGTCTAATTCTCATCTTAACATATTCATAGTTTTCTTAAATTTGTTCATATGTAATTATAACATTTTTGTCCCATTTTCCACTTCAAAAATTAATTTCTTACTATAGCACATAAGAAATAGCAACCATTCTTATCAAAATACACATCTGAAGGTATGAAAGGAAACATGATGTCTAAAAATATATTCTATTTTTAATAAATATAAAGATATTTACAACAATCACTGCTATATACACAACTACTAGTATTGAAAGACAAAATATATGCCACCAAATTCATAACATGGGCATTGTGACCATTTAGTTCTAAATTAATATTAAAGAATGTTTTAAATATAAGTTCACTCAATTCAAATATGGTTACAAAACAGGCATCACAAACTAATGAAATTTTATTGTAAAAGAATATTATTGACAATATAACTAGATAACTTAGACTGTTGCACTTAATGAACTCTGAATTTATGATATATTTCTATGACTGTGTTTTCACATAATATAAATTTATATACTAACATAAGGACCAATTTACATTAAGTTGAAAACAATGAAAAAGAAATATATAGAAAAGAACTTTTTTTATGCCTTCCCACCTGATCAATCAATTATCAAGGATGCCAATGCGGTTTAATTTCTAAATATCATAAAAAACTGCCAGTCTCATATATACCATAGATGCACTGAGTTGTCACTTCAACTGAGTCTTGACATCTTCAATTACATAATTATATTATAAAACAGCCACTGGTATCAACAAGATTTATACTCGCCTGAAGTTCCCAGCCTTTTCATCAGAGGGACCCCATATCTTAGAATTAATTTTCTTTATGGAATCAACATTTTTGACTATTCAGAGCCAATTTTCTACAATAACCTCATACAGCTCATTGAAAAACATATACAACTCAGCATTTAGTTATGAATTGCAATATAATATTTTTAAATATATGAATAAAAAATTAAAGTTCTTTAGTGCTGGAGCCTCAATATTTTCTACTTAGCTTTAAGGTCCTTTGTGCTATGTTCACAGGAAGTCCAGGTTTGGGAACCACTGTACTAACCTTTTCTTATTTACTGCTGAATATTCCCACAAATAAAACATAACCCAATGCATTTAAACACTGATAAATCTGGGGAAACTTCATTTGCTTTGCTTGTCTGCAAAATACCAATATTAGTAGTAGCTTGATGATTATTAAAACAAAGAGTACCTCTTTACTGTTATCGCTACCCCAAATCAACAAGCCAAATTCTCAATTCATAGCATTAATATAGAAAACTACATATACTATATGTTAATTCACACAAAGTTTACCTGATTATTATGGTCTACAATCTCATAAACAAAGTTCACACCATTCCCATATTCAATATTATGTGTACCTCATTGCTACTCATTATCACCACTACTAACACTAACAATATTTATAAGCTTACACTCACTACCTAATACAAGAACTTGTCACAAAAATAATAGTATAATGTTTATTTCAGAAAAGTGTAAAGATACCTAAAACTTCCCTCTATTGAGCTGAAAACAAATGAAACTACAGACAGCCTGTATTAATAGAGAAATTTCTTGACAATGGAATTCTATGTATTTAGAAAGGAAAGATGAGCCAAAACCTTTGTAATTCCATACTCCTGGCATCAGTGATTTGTACTTCAATCTGAAAGAACTTTCCTGGCAATGAGGAGTCTCATAACCTCATTGGTCCCCTCGAGGATCATGTGCACTCGGGTATCACGCAGGTACTGCTGGACGCTGTAATCCTTGAGGTACCCATAGCCACCGTGTAACTGCAAGGCCTCATTAATAATCTGTCAAAGCAGAAGGTTTAGTTATTTCTTTCTCCTCTTTTCCTTTGGGCAAATTTATACCCATTGACAATTAAGAAATACTTTTCATCAGTTTGTATGGTTATTTTTATCACACTTATGCAAATAATATCTCTTGGAGTCAACAACATTTTTCAAATCAGAAGTGTTTTTATTCAATCCAAAGAGACAGCATTGTTTATATATATCATTATTTGCACCTTCAAACTAAATTATTCAATTGACGATCAGCTTTTAGAAATTTGTGTCCTGTTTTTCCCACCTCTATTTTGATGTGAATGCACCAGTGAGTGTGAGCACAGTTTTTCTATAGAGGGAAAATGCACTCATTCACAGAGCAGAATTGTACTTCAAATAATTATCACCACCAACCTGTCAACCTTCCATAAATCATCAGTTTCAAATTGTGAAATGATCCTTTGCCTCAAAGAGAGAGAGAGAGAGAGAGAGAGAGAGAGAGAGAGAGAGAGAGAGAGAGAGAGAGAGAGAGAGAGAGAGAGAGATGGTTAATGGTTAATGGTTAAAAGCAAGATAAATGTGCTAGACATCTAAGGTCATGTAGCACTATAGTTAATGTTAGTGAAGGGTGGTTGAGTTAGTGATTAGTTGTCTAAGCTGGGCAAAGGAATTAGTGAGTGAAAGGGTTAAGGTCGGGTGTTATATTAGATAAAGGGTATGCATAAGAAAGGTTTCTTGAAGGCATACAATAGATGGGTTATAAGAGGAAAGGATATGATGGTCAGGTCTGTGGGAGCGGAAACCGCGAATATTCCAATGAAGGATAGTTATACTTTCGTTGATTTAGTGATATAGATTGTAGTACGTGTTGGAGAATTTGAAGGGGAAGCAGCTAGAGGGTGGGATAAGGACTGAGAGGTTTGAGATGGGAGAGGTGTGGGAGTTGGTGTTCTATCAGGAGGGGTATTAGGAGATGGAGGGTCTGAGGAAGGGGATACTTGTGACATAAGGGATTCACGTGTGTATCCAGGAGGGAGTGGAAGGGATAGAGGGGATGGTGGGAGAGTTAATGTGGGCAGGGTTGGGGTCAGGGGGAATGGGCTGTGTTGGGAGGGGGTAGGAGGGTAGGGTGTAGGGGGGATATCGTTAGGAGGAGGATGGATATCAGCAATTACTTGGAGTGTGGAAGGAGCAGGAGTTGTAGGTTGAGTGTCGGTTTTCATTAAGTAATCTTGAATATTTTCAATAGTTTCTTCTGTGGAGTTGGTTGGGGAGTTTTGGGGGATAAAGGATTTCTTGTGAGGGGGGGGAAGAGAGGACTGGTGTCTCAAGAGTACGGGCAAAGGATGGTGGGGGTGATTGTGTGGTAGGGGAAGAGGGGGTGGAACGTTTGTTCTGTCTGTTACGGGGAGTGCGAGGAGGGAGAGGGGAAGGTGTTGGGGTTGTAGTGGTGATTGGAGTATCTGTAGTAGAGATTGGAGTTTCTGGATTTAGGATGGCAAAAGAGTTTGACTGGGGAAGGTAGGTGGGGTTAGTGGGGGGGTTAGATGTAGGAGGGGTGGGTTTAGGAGAAGTGTTAGGATGAGCAGTATTACTGGAGTAAGGAGTAAGAGAGAATCCACGTCGACGTGCTTCCTGTCTGGCTTCACGCAGTGTGAGTCCGAGTTTGAATCTGAGAGTTGCTACCTCAGATTCAAATTTGTAGGTGGGACAGCCCCTATAAAATACATTATGGGGGCCGCCACAGTTGGCACATGTGCGTGATTGTGCAGAGCAGTTAGATCGGGTATGGCCAGGTTGGGCACATAATGGGCATCTGGCTGTGGAACGGCAGTGTTTGGCTGGGTGTCCTAGACGCCAACAATTTTGGCACTGACATGGAGGAGGTTGGTATGGACGAACAGGGAGGGATTCTCCTCCTATGTAGACGTTAAAGGGAAGGTCATGTCTACGGAAGGTAATTCTGGCTATGTTAGTGGGTTTCTTTCGATGACCTCTGGGGGGATGGAATAGCATTGTACTGATGTTGCATCGTAGTCTGTGAGACAGGCAAGTAGATCTTCTCCACAATCTGACCATTCTTTGTCATAGATTGGGCAATTTGTTGGTGAGATTGAGACTGTTCCGGTGCAAGTATTGAGGGTTGGATGGGGTTCTGCTAGGATGGGGTTACCATATAGGTCAGTTAGTTTTGTTAGTGCTATGGCTTGGTTTTCGGATGTTACTGTTACAAGACGGGAGCGGTCGGGTCGGCTACGGAAAGAGACTTTACCTACTTGTTTTTGGAGGCATTGTTGGAAGAGAAGGGTGTTGTTAGAGTAGGGAGCTGTGGGAGGGATCACGAAAAATCGGTCCCATTTGGCTGCACTGAAGAGAGTATTCAAGATTGTTTTAGAGATAGGGGTGGTAGAAGGGCGAGGGCGTGACGAAGATGGAGTAGTGTTGATGGAGGTAGTGTTATGGAGAGGTGGGCTATAAGGCTGTAAGGTATTAATAAGGGAGGATGGGGTGGTTGATGTTGGAGGTTGTGGGGGTAGAGGTGTTGAAGTTGGGCATGCTGGGAGAGTGGAAATGTCCCTTGAGGGTTGATTGTTGGCTACTGTACTAGTAGGCATTGGTGAAGGGGTAGTTATTGCAGTGTTTGGAGCCGTGGTCAAAGGAGAGCCTGGGGTCGGGGAATCGGGTGGGTTTACTTCGTTGGGGCTATTTGATAAAGGGGCAAGCCTCATTGCCCCTAACAGTGGGGATATATTTTCATTACTGGCCATGGGAAGCCTGGATTATGTTGGGGATAAAAGCAGTCCACCCCTCAGGGTCCCCTTGAGGGGTAAGGGCTAGATAACTAAATCAGGGGAATACCGTGCCCATGGCTCCCTCAGGCCGTTCAGGACTGGCACAAAGTCAGCCTTTCATCCTTTCAGCACGGCTCTCACACCTTAGGAGGTGGATAGCAGAAGGGTTTTGGTGAAGGGACAGAAACAAAAGTGGGAAGGGAAAAAAAGACCATGCATAATTAGTTGAGTCGAGGGCTGAGTCCCAAGGTTGGGGAGTTCCCCATCATTGGGTCCCAGTCTCCGCCTCCTAAGCCCCCCCCACGACAACAACGGGCAAGGGATTGGGGGGGAGAGAGAGAGAGAGAGATCCCCCCATCCTGTACTACCTGCTAACTCACTGGGCCTTCTGTGTGTATGGCTTCTAT